CAGAGATCAGGTGGTGAGAACTGTGCGTGGTAGAGGAAGTGAGTTTTACCAGAACATCAATTTATATACTACAAACAGACCCCTCTCACAAGGAAATGCCCCTTTCAATTGATTGGTGGCTATAGAGTATGAGGGGACTTTAAAAAATTCATGAAAAGCAGTTAAAAATAAAAATATGAAGTATATATGTTAACTCTCAACATAAACTTTATCAAATTCCAAGCACTTTTGTAAGCAATGATACCAGTCATTTAGGCTATCTCTAAAGAACTAAGGGTCCTAGAATTTAACCATGTCAATGTAAACATTTAAATAACTAATTGAGGGAAAGTGGGCTCCCTTTAAGGTTTTTTTAAGTCTAGGAAACAAAGCAAAGTCAGAAAGGAGTCAAATTGGGATTCAAGATGGATATCTAATGATTTCCCATGGAAACTCTCACAAAATTGCCCTTTGATGAGAGCAATAAGCAGGAACATTGTCATAGTGGAGATGTACTTTATGGTAAGGATTCCCAAGGCATTTTCTGCTAAAGCTTTAGCTAAACTTCTCAAAACACTCTCATAATAAGCAATTGTTATTTTCCTTTGCCCAGCCCAGAAAAACCAACAAGCAAAATACCTGTACATCCCCTCTAAAATTGTTTATGTGATCTTTGCTCTTGACTCCTTTGCTTTTGCTTTGAGTGAACCACTTCTACCTCTTAGTAGCCAATGCTTTTATTGTGTTTTGTCTTCAGGATCATACTGGTAAAGCCATTTTTCATTTCCTGTTAAAATTATTTGAAGAAATTCTTCAAAATATTGACCCCACTTCTTTAAAACGTCTATTGCAAGCTCTGTTGTCTTCAGTACAGCTGATCTGGACACAAGCGTTTTGGAATCCTTCAAGCAGAAGATTCGCTCTACCTTGATTTTTCAATTAGAATTGAGTCAGCTGAGCCACTCGAGATGCCTCTGGTGCTGGTTATTACTTCTGCTGCTAATCTTCAATTAGGGCACAAACGAGGTTCCTTACTTCTTCTCAAATTGACACGAATTGTCTCTTGCTGCTGACTTCACCTTTAACCTCGTCCCATCCTTTCATAAAACAAGATGGTCATTTGTAAACCGCTGTTGATAAGGGCATTTTTGCTCTAAGCTTCCTGTAAAGTGTCACTGATTTTACTGTTCTTCTACCCAAGCTCCACCATAAGTTTGCTATTTGGTCATGCTTCAATTTTAGCAAAATCAATGCTGCTTTGAGAGGGACCCCTTTCAAACTGATGGCTTACTTAGATCCTCACAATAGATCATGTTCCGACCCGTTATAACAAGCTAATATAGGTTTATCTCAGTGCATAAACGTTCTCACATCCATGCACGCCTTTTTGCATGATATGTATTCTCCATCAGCTTTGGAAGGCCCTTCATACTATATATAAAACAAATCGAATAACCTAGATGAAATGGGCACATTGTGGGAAGCACTCACTCCATCCAGACCGACTCAGAAGTCTCAACAGACCCAGGACAAGAGATTGAATTCATGATCAAAACCCTCCCAGCCACCCTAAGTCCTATTTTAGATAGTCCTGTTTTAAATCACTCAGTTTTAGAATTAATCCAAACATTTAGAGAAGCGTTGACATCAATACTATTTAAGTTCTTCCAAAAAACAGAGAAAGAAAGAGTACTGTAATTCACTCTATGAAATATGCATAATCCTGATACCCAAGCCAGATACAGACACCACAGAAACAAAAACAAGAGGAAAATAAAAAACCTGACAAGCCTATGAGTAGCTATGAGTATGGGTGTAAAAATTTTCAACGAAATCCCAGCAAACAGATTCCAATAGCATATTAGTAGGATCATATGAGTGTGATAGGTAAGGTTTTATATAAACTTGACTGGGCCAGGATTGTTTAATTTTGAAGTAATCCCTATGATGTGATCTAACATAATGTAATTACTTCCATAATGGGATCTGCTATGAGGAGCCAATCAATTGAAAGATTAGGGAGGGCTATAACACCCTTACTCAGATCACAACCCTGCTGTAGTCAATTGGAAAGCAGTTTCCTTGGGGTATGCCCTACTTCCAATAAAAATGGATAAGGTTGCTTACTTTTACCAAGATCTGTACCCTGAATCTGCCTCATTATACAACTGAGCTTGGGTTTGAGCCACCAGGATTTATGTCAAAGAAATGGCTCACACAGTTGTAGGCACAGGAATGTTCCAAGTTTGTGGGTCAGATGCCAGTCTGGTGGCTTCTCTTGACTAATGTCACTGCAGAGGCAGCTCACAAGGTTTCGAAGGGATCAGGTATAAGGCATCATCAGAACAAAAAAATCTTACCTTAGTTAATGATGGGGGGAGTGCGGAGTGGAGACCCAAGCCCATCTGTAGGCCACTGGAGATACCCTTACAGAGGGGTCTCAGGGAGGAGACAAGCCAGTCAGGGTGTGATGTAGCAA